ACTTTTGTTGGCAGGGTGATGTCTCTGCTTTTTAGCATGCTGTCTAGATTGGCCATGGCTTTCCTCCCCAGGAGCAAGCGTCCTTTAATGTCTTGGCTGCAGTCCCCATCTGCGGTGATCTTGGAACCCAGGAAAATAAAATCTGTCACTATCTCCATTTCTTCCCTATCTATTTGCCAGGAATTGAGAAGGCCGGATGCCATGAATTTAGTTTTCTTAATGTTGAATTTCAAGCCAACTTTTGCACTCTCCTCCTTCACCCGCATCAAGAGGCTCTTTAGTTCCTCTTCGCTTTCTGCCATTAGAGTGGTATCGTAGTGTAGGTTAGAGTCCTTTAAAAAAAGTAAGCATAAGCATAAAATTTATCTTCATGGCCCTCCTATTTGGAAATGATTGAGGGCAGTAGTGGGTTTCAAAATTTTTTACTACCGGTTCTGTGGGTGTGGCTTGGTGGGCGTGGCATGGCTTGGTGGGCGTGGCTTCATGGGCTTGGCAGGGGAAGGATACTATAAAATCTCCATTCCTTCCCCAATCCAGGGGAAGGTTACTGCAAAATCCCCATTTCCTCCCGATCAGCTGGGACTCGGAAGGCAGAGAATAGATGGGGGCGGGGCCAGTCAGAATTTTTACTACAGGTTCTCCAAACTACTCAAAATTTCCGCTACCGGTTCTCCAGAACTGGTCAGAACCTGCTGAAACCCACCTCTGATCGAGGGCAATCAAACCACGTCTTGGGGCATCATAGAAAAAGGATACCTTATGAGAACATGAGAACAATGTCAAAAAATAGACTTCTGTGGAAATAGGTTGTTTGCAAAACTCAGTTTTGTCGGGAGCAGAGGAAGTTTGGAAACTGGCTTGCAATATGGAAAATATCCACCTTCCAAGTGGCAACCCACAAGATTGCCTAAATTTGATAATGCAGAGGTCTGTATCCTTAAATACATATATACATAACCTTCTTAGCAAAAGCCAGTTCCCCAGGCATTTTCTTACGCGCCAGTGGAAAAGCAGAAACTCGAATGAGAAAATTAGCTGGATCCATCTAACAGTTTACAAGAAGTTTCGCTTCAACTCATTTGTTTCTGGACTATCTTCTCTTGTCTCCATTAGTTCGTGGCGGTGTGAGCTGGAGAGCTAGTTATATACCGTCCTTAGGTTATAATAAAGAGAGAGGTTTGGGGTCCCTGGTGAGGTATCCCAAATGATCTCATTGTCTGCGATCCCTGATGAAGTCATTGGTGTTTTACTTTCTCCGGCTTTTCTCTGGGGAGGGTGCCAGCAAACCTATCAGCTGCTCAACAGCTTTGAATTCTACTTAGACTAGAATCACCAAAACTCAAATATTTGATGATCTTTAGGGATTCGTATTCTTGTTATCCATAAGAATAGGGATTCCGGTGGGTTGCCCCAAAGAAGAGGGAGTCAAGCTATTCTCCAAAGCACCTGAAGGCAGGACAAGAAGCAATGGGTGGAAACTAATCAAGGAGAGAAGCAACCTAGAACATAAGGAGGAACTTCCTGACAGTGAGGACAATCAATCATTGGAAAGAGTTGCCTTCAGAAGTTGTGGGTGCTCCAGCACTGGAGGTTTTTAAGAAGATGTTGGATAACCATTTGTCTGAAGTAGTGTAGGGTTTCCTGCCTAAGCAGGGGGTTGGACTAGAAGACCTCAAAGGTCCCTTCCAACTCTGTTATTCTGGTGCACATGAGTCACCCACAGTCACCAAAGCCACAGACCATCTGAGCCCCAAATGAATAGATAGATTGCAAAAGCAGAGTCACGTTGAATGGGCCCAACAAGAGGTATAATTCCGCAAACACAGAATTATCACAACTGGAAAACAGGTTTTGTGCAATTTACGATAGCAATCACGTGTCTGACCCAGTCTAATATCTGGGTGCAAACTGTGGATGAGTAATTTCTAGGTTTATTTTAGATGTTAGATAGATAGATAGATAGATAGATAGATAGATAGATAGATAGATAGATAGATAGATAGATAGATAGATAGGTAGGTAGGTAGGTAGGTAGGTAGGTAGGTAGGTAGGTAGGTAGGTAGATAGATAGATAGTATAGAGATAGAGATAGAGATAGAGATAGAGACAGAGACAGAGATAGAGATAGAGATGTTTTCCCAAAAATAAGACCCTGTCCTATATTTTTTGAACCCTGAAATAAGTGCTTGGCCTTATTTTCAGTGATATCTTATTATTTTGGGGAGCATGGAGCAAGACGGGGCTCCTCTTGCCGTGTTACCTGAAGGCGAGACCGCCTTCTTCCACCAGTAGCCTCTCACCGGCCAGTACGCTCCCATACAGAGGGGCTCCTCAGGGTGCCGTCAGCCAAACAGTGTCGGCTGGCAGCCCCCAGGGGGAGAGCCTTCTCTGTGGGGGCACCTACCCTCTGGAATGAGCTGCCCCCGGAGATATGGAGGATCCCGGACTTACACACTTTCCGCCGTGCCCTCAAGACCTTTTTATTTCAACAGGCTGGCCTGGCCTAACCTCCTTTTTAATTGTTAATTTTAAATTTGTTTTAAAATAATACGGGTGTTTTAAATTGTTTGGGCCAAATTATTTAATGGGCTTTTATATTGGTTTTAAATTTTGTATTATGTGTGTCTTATCTTTTGGCTGTTCACCTCCCTGAGTCTTTCGGGAGTAGGGCGGTATATAAATAAATAAATAAATAAATAAATAAATAAATAAATAAATAAATATAACTAACTAACTAACTAACTAACTAACTAACTAACTAACTAACTAAATAATAAATAAATAAATAAATAAATAAATAAATAAATAAATAAATAAATTTCCAGCTCTGTCTCCCTAACCCTAACCAGAGGAAATGGTGGGGACTGGTTGTGCATGCATTTAAATATTTTTGGGGAGGGGGGATTTTCAGGGTGGGCTTATTTTAGAGGATGCAAGAGAGAGAGAGTGAGAGAGAGAGAGAGAGGGAGAGGGAGAGAGAGAAAGAATTGTTTAGCTACAGACTGTACTTGGATTTTTTTCAAGTGCTTTGAGATAAGGAATGTTTTCGGTAAATCTGAATATTCTTCCTGGCACACTAAACGTTTTCATTTAGTTAGCTGAGCAAACCATATAAATGTCATTATATCTAATTTAAAACAGCCTATTACAATGCAATTTCTGTTCCGTGGATAGGTGAAACTGCCTTCCAATAGAATAAACACCTGTGCCTTATGGAACCTTATCCTTTTTATATTTCATGAACTATTTTATAATATTATGTTGGCAAGAGTCTGACCTTTCCTTTACATCTGTGCTTACTTTTTAGTCGCTTAAACATCTGTGTATTTTAATTTCTAGGGATAAGTTTGTCTGTGACTCATTTAAAAAAAAAAATAGAAGAAGGCAAAGATCTAGAAACCACAAAATTGTATTTGTTGGTTCACTTAGCAACTCTTGTATCTCTACAGAGGATGTTTTTCTACTGGAAACAGACAACCCGAGAACAACACTGATATATGGCATTTTCACCACTTCCAGGTAATCCCTTCCTATCTATTTTAAGAAAAAAGCTCAAAATAAGAATTGCATGGGTGTGGAAGACATGGCTATTTACAGTGATGTGATTCCTATTGAGATGTATCTCCACAAAGAAGAGGGAGTCAAGCTATTCTCCAAAGGGGAATATGAGGGCAGGACATGAAGCAACGGGTGGAAACTAATCAAGGAGAGAAGCAACTTAGAACTAAGGAGAAATTTCCTGACAGTGAGAACAATTAATCAGTGGGACAACTTGCCTCCAGAAGTTGTGAATGCTCCAACACTGGAAGTTTTTAAGAAGAGGTTGGATAACCATTTGTCTGAAGTGGTGTAGGGTTTCTTGCATAAGCAGGGGGTTGGACTAGAAGACCTCCAAGATCCCTTCCAACTCTGTTATTCTATTATTCTATTCTATACGTTGTGTAGTGTCCTACAAAACGTTCTTAGATGTTCTTCTACCTGGCGTTCTTAGCTCTATGGAATATTCTCATGAAGCTGATTTAAATATAATATTTAATAATATTTTGTAATATTGCTAGAAAATAAAATTACTGTGCTATGCCATGATAATTTGGCAGTGATTAACTGTTTCCCCGAAAATAAGACCTAACTGGAAAACCCTAGCATGATTTTTCTTTTTTGTTTTAAAAAAAAATGGTTTTTATTAAGCTTTTTACTTTTAAAAACAGAAAGAAAAAAAAATAAGGACAAAAACAGACTAAAAAACATGATAAACATAATACATTATGTGTTATTTTTACAGCCTTCTATATCGACATGCATATTGTCTATTTTTGTTCAATTCTTCAACTGAATACATACATTTACATTATATTTATTTACGCAGTCAATACTATAAGGTTAACAATAATTAGTAACGTATAGTTCTTTATTTCAGCGCTACTGACTTAAGTTTCCTAATTTAGATTTCTTTTTTCTATCCATTTATAGAATTTGTTCCACACTCTATAATAGTCCGAATCTTCTCTTTCCTTAATTTCCATTGTCATTTTATCCATTTCTGCACATTGTAAAATAGTGATTAGGAAAATTTTACCATTTTACAATAGCATGATTTTTCAAGATGCTCGTAATATAAGCCCTACCCAAAAAATAAGCTCCAGTTAAGATCATCAGCAGACGGAGGCATTTAGTACTGTATTTCTCCCAAAATAAGACCTAACCGGAAAATAAGCCATAATGCATCTTTTGGAGTAAAAATTAATATAAGACCTGGTCTTATTTTGGAGAAAACATAGTGTTAATAATAATAACTTTATTGTCATTTTACGTGTATACACAGTATACCCATACAACGAAATTCACTTAACACTCAAAGACCAGGTCCAACACACATAACAATCCCCAGACAGACTCCGATCCAGCACAATTCCCCACCCCTAAACCACCCAAACATCCACACAACAGACCAAGTAATGCTCTCCAACAGCTCACTGATGGTGGCCCTTTAGTTCATGGTTGAGTGCAATTATAGCTATGGGATAAAAACTATTCAGAAGATGTGTGATCCAAGTTTTAATTGTTCTGTCTCTTCTGCCAGAAGGCAACAGTCCAAAAAGATTGTAAGCAGGATGGGAAGAGTCTCTGAGAATGTGATGCAACTCCCTCAAACAGCGAGATTCGAAGATGTCGTCCAGGGCTGGTAGCTGGAGTCCGATGATATTCTGGGCAGTTTTAATGATTCTCTGTAGAGCTTTTTTGTCCGCTACAGAGCTGCTCCCATACCATGCAAGAATGCCGTATGTCAGGACACTCTCAATGGTGCCGCAATAGTAGGACAGAAGTAGATGCAGATGCAGTAGATGCAAATGTTATCGTGTATAATAACATCTGCATCTCCTCATCAAAGAAGATGTTACCCAAATCTGTAAAAGGTTGATTTGTGTTTCTTGCAGCCGTAGAAGAGAAATTGTGTTGGTTAGCATTGTAACGTTTATTCTTCCTGGAGTTTTCACACATGGAAGTTAGATGTAAACAACTTCATTTTTCTGAATTTCTGTGGAACGCGCTTAGCAAGTCGACAAATCCACACAAATTGGGCATGTTAATGAGCCGTGCACACAAAACCACATGACCTGAAGGGGAAAAAAAAAAAGAAACTTAACAAAATGTAGGTGCACTCTTAGAAACACTTTGTACAAACATGTGCTTTGAATTCGATGTGGCTCGGATTAAGGCTTTATGAAAAGACTGCAATTCTTGTGAAAAGTTTTGCAAGGACATTGTTCAAAGGGAAAACAATCTTTAATAGTGAAAGGAGACCCAGCAAAAAGAACGTTAGAAAAAAAAAAGAGAGAGAGAGAGAGAGAAACACACATAAGAAAAAAATTCATCATCCCCCATCCTGAATTTTTTTGAGGTCTTTCTTTCTTATTTATTTATTTATTTATTTATTTATTTATTTATTTATTTATTTATTTATTTATTTATTTATTTATTGCCAGTTTTTTATTGTTTCATCCCTTTGAAAATACATAAATCACCTGTCCTATAAAAGGGTAAAATAATCTCCTTGCAAAAATTAAACAATGGATATATTTACACAAAAGCAACTTTTCTTATAGTTTCTCTGTAGATTCATTTTTAAATTGTGGCAGCAATCTCACACACACAATTACTTACAAGTACACCCAATTTAATTTGATTTTCTTATTTCTGGGTAGAGAAACAATATAGTTTAATAGCTACATTGAGCAGTGGTCCATTATTACAAAAATAAGATAAAGTTAGTAGGTTTTGTGGCAAATATTCAAATATTATCAAAACCTTTTCGAGGTCTTTCTTAAAACACTTATTGTATCTTTCCTCTGGCCCATACAAATAATATTAAAGCAATGCATTATGTGTTTCTTAAAAAAACTGTGACATTTCTGTCTGAAAAGATATACTGCATGAATCCATTTACTATTGCTTACCATGTTTGTGTCACTTTCAAAAGATTGAATTTGGGGAAAAAATTATTTTCGGAGTACCTTGGGGTACTACAGCTTGTCTGTGCTATTTACTACCGTAGCTATTTTGATACACAGGGGGTGGGGTGGGGATAAAACTCTCTGCAAATACTACGTGAAAAAATAGTAATCATGTCGACAGCTTTTTTTTTAAAAAAAAAAATAATAATCAGCCATCTGCTTCCACCTTGCTGTTACTTTTCAAAGATATCCGTAGCAATTTTTCTAATGCATACCAGAATTATTATTATTATTATTATTATTCATCATCATCCTTCTCCCTGAAAGCCCCATTCCCTTCTAGCACAGATGATGTTACCTACGTCTGCAAAAAAACAACAACCAAACTTAGAGAGCACCAAGGACCCAACCCACCACCACCTCTTCCTCCTCCTCCTCCTCCTCCTCCTCCTCTTCTTCCTCTTCCTCCATCTTCCTTCTCTCCTCCTCGTCCTCCTCCTCCTCTTCTTCTTCTTTCCTTCCCCTCCTCCTCTTCTTCCTCCTCCTCCTCTTCTTCCTCTTCCTCTTCTTCTTCCTCTTCTCTCCTCTTCCTCCTCTTCCTCCTCTATCTTCCTTCTCTCCTTCTTCTCCTCCTCCTCCATCTTCCTTCTCTCCTCTTTGTCCTCCTCCTCCTCTTCTTCTTTCTTTCCCCTCCTCCTCTTCCTCCTCCTCTTCTTCCTCCTTCACCTTTTCTTCTTCCTCTTCTTCTCCTCTTCCTCGTCTTCCTCCTCCATCTTCTTTCTCTCCTCCTCTTCTCCTCCTCCTCCATCTTCCTTCTCTCCTCCTCATCCTTCTCCTCCTCTTCTTCTTCTTTCCTTCCCCCTCCTCCTCCTCCTCCTCCTCCTCCTCCTCCTCCTCCTCCTCCTCCTCCTCCTCCTCCTCCTCCTCCTCCTCTTCTTCTTCTTCTTCTTCTTCTTCTTCTTCTTCTTCTTCTTCTTCTTCTTCTTCTTCTTCTTCTTCTCTTCTTCTTCTTCTTCTTCTTCTTCTCCTTCTCCTCCTCCTCCTCCTCCTCCTCTTCCTCTTCCCCTTCCTCTTCCCCTTCCTCTTCCTCTTCCCCTTCCTCCATGCCTATTTTTTCTCTCCTCAAACCAAAAGTCAATTCCTTGTTTGGTTTGCTCCCAAAATTTGGTGGCATCACTGCCCTAAAGCTTCGATCCTTCTTTTCTTCGTTGCATTCAGGCCTCCTTGTTCTGAATATGCCTGTTTCTCTTGCTGGTGGTGTCCTTTGCCATAATGAATGGATAATATGCGTTTTCTCCAAACAATTCTTTTTTTATATAAAAAACAAAACAAAAAACCTTCATTGGAACAACTGTGCCTCCCTCTCTAGTGCGCTCCACAAAGAGCCAGAAATAATTTTAAGAGCAAAGATGGGGCGATATTATTTTTCTGACCCCATATGTTTAATTTGGAATTTGGTCTGATTAATTTCAATGATTTATCCCTTGTGGTGGTGTAGGAGATGGGTTGCAACCATAGAAGCTGGGCAAAGAAATGCAGAAATCCTGCAGATGTTTTATTCGGCCTCTACTCGGTTTATTCAGATTCAGTTTCGTTTGCCACAAACCCACAGATATATTTTAATACATATTTTAACTCTGAAGTATAATTTGTAGCAAGGAATGTAATGGGTTTCGCTTGGCAGCCATACCTTTGATTCCATCTCGGGAACGTGGTACCACATACAATTTTAGTCCATTGATTGAAATAACATACTTCTGAATACACTTCTGAATGAATTGACTGTACGGGCAAAACCAGACAAAGGAGAATATTTGTAGCTCAGGGTTGAAATGAGGGATCCTTGGTGCTCTTTGAGCATAGTTGTTTTCTCTCAGACATTTCTTTACCCAACTAGGTAACATCATCAGTGCTATCTCTGAGTTGCAGCAGTTTTGGTTACATTTTGGTTGCCAAGCATCAGAATTTTGATCAGGTGACCATAGGGATGAGGCAATGGTCATTAAGTGTGGAAAAAAACAGTCACAAGTCACTTTTATCAGTGCCACTGCCCCTTTGAACAGTCACTAAACGGACTGTTGTAAGTCCAGGACTGCCTCTAATAACATAGGTGTTGCAGAATAAACCATTGCATCCAACAAATCAAATAAGTCATTGAATGGCTGCAGAAATAGCGACCTATAATGTTTAAGCAGGTGATAATGATTTAGGGGATGCGGTGGCTCAGTGGCTAAGACGCTGAGCTTGTCGATCGAAAGGTCGGCAGTTCAGCGGTTCGAATCCCGAGTGCCACGTAACGGGGTGAGCTCCGTTTCTTGTCCCAGCTTCTGCCAACCTAGCAGTTCGAAAGCACGTAAAAAAAAGCAAGTAGAAAAATAGGAACCATCTTTGGTGGGAAGGGAACAGCGTTCCGTGCGCCTTTGGCGTTGAGTCATGCCGGCCACATGACCACGGAGACGTCTTCGGACAGCGCTGGCTCTTCGGCTTTGAAACGGAGATGAGCACCGCCCCCTAGAGTCAGGAACGGCTAGCACATATGTGCGAGGGGAACCTTTACCTTTTAATGATTTAACGATGGCATTTGCAAGACAAGTAAGAAAATAGAACGAATGCTCCGGATTTATTTAATGCTTTCCTTCCCTTTCGTAGTTCAGTATTTAAAGGCTCAGCAGTCTGCGTCTATCACTTATCCGACATTCAGCGAGTTTTCAATGGACCATTTGCCCACAAGGAAGGACCAAACCATCAGCTGATTCCCTATCAAGGAAGGATCCCTTATCCGCGACCAGGGACTGTAAGTCTCCATAATTAACTTGTCTTGGAAGATATTACCGAGGGTAATCTGAAATTATATGCGTGCAGTGTTTTGTGTGTGTTTTGGAGGAGGAAGGAACCTCAGGGACGAACAGCAGAAGATCCAAAGTTAAATAATATAATTCCCTTTTGTCTCGACCTGAGCTGTCCAGCTACAGTCGAAGATAAATGAATGTATACACTGAGGGTTCTAAGAGATAAAAGCGGAATAAAAGATAACAGTAATTCAGTTGCTTGGCTTGCATTCCAGAGATTAATTGCTTTTATAGACTTTTTGTAAGGGTATAAATGCGGTGGAACATTTTATAGAGATGTTTTTATGAGCCTGAAATTGGTCATATGTCTTTTTTTGGGCTTCCCATAGTTTTTTTGCTTGGGCACAAAATCCTTTGGCCTCAGCTACATGACCCCTTATGTGCTCGAACAACTTAATTTGTACATTTAAAAAAAAAACATAGCTTAGTCCAGAAAAAGACTAACACTGCCTTCCAAAACATTGAAAACAATGAAATTTATAAGATATATTTAACTGGATGGCTGGAACATTTTTAAGCATATAATCTAGTAGTGAGTTGGGTTTTTTTTAAAAAAAAAAAATAATAATAGATAGGCAGACCAATATATCATACACCACACTTGGAATAATGCATCCAGTTCTGGTCACCACAATATAATGAAGATAAAATAAAATAAAAATTTTAAAAATAGCAGTTGTCTGAAAGAAAAGCATTTGATGATGCCCAAAGCATACTACAGGGGGAAAATATGGTCTTAGTTACATCAAAGAAAGAAGAAAGAAAGAAAGAAAGAAAGAAAGAAAGAAAGAAAGAAAAAGAAAGAAAGAAAGAAAGAAAAAGAAAGAAAGAAAGAAAGAAAGAAGGGAGGAGGGAGGGAGGGAGGGAGAGGGAGGGAG